GTAGAGATGAGGTCTTGCTTGCCCAGGCGGGTCTTGAACCCGCGGGCTCAGGCAATCCACCCACCTCAGCCTCCCAAAGGCACGGGATGATAGGCTGAGCCACTGTGCCCGGCTTAGATGTCTTTTTTTTCTAAAGATTTATTCCCCTAATGGATTGGAAATTTATGTATTTATTTAATTTTTAATTTTTTTAATTTTAATTTTATTTTTTCTTTGAGTTGGAGTCTCACTCTGTCGCCCAGACTAGAGTGCAGTGGCCGCTCCCGGCCACCGCAGCCTCGACCTGCTGGGCTCCGGCGATCCTTCTGCCTCAGCCTTCCAAGTAGCCAGAATTACAGGAATGCGCTACCACGCCCGGCTAATTTTTTAATTTTATTGTAGAGACAAGTTCTCGCCTGCCCAGGCGGGTCTCGAACCCGCGGGCTCAGGCAATCCACTCACCTCAGCCTCCCAAAGGCGTGGGATTACAGGCTGAGCCACCAAGCCCGGCTTTAATTTTTCATTTTAGTTGGAGTTTCACTCCGTTGCCCAGGCTGGAGTGCAGTGGCATGATTATGGCTACCGTAGTCTCGACCTGCTGGGCTCAAGCGATACTTCTGCCTCAGCCTTCCAAGTAACTGGAGCTACAGGTGCACACCACCATGCCCAGCTAATTTTTTTATTTATTGTAGAGATGAGGTCTCACCAAGTTGCCCAGGTTGGTCTCGAATCCCTGGGCTCAGGCAATCCTCTCGTCTCGGCCTCCGACAGTGCTGGCATTGCAGGTGTGAGCCACCACCCCCAGCAGACTGGAAATTTAAAGAACAACACCTGCCCCTCACCACAATTTGAGAAGTTCTGCTCTAGGGAATGTGCTGGGGGTGAAATTGCTGGATCAAGGGCGCGCAGATTTTAAAGGTAAAGAAATTCAAGGCATCACATTGCTTTCTAAACTAGTTGTACTGATCTGCATTCCCCCTAGCAGTGAGTGAGGGTTCTCACACCATTTCTCCTCTTCTTCAGCACTTACTGATGCTGGGTAGATTGCAAAACTTGTGGGCTCTTTGATCAACTCTAAAATGAATTTTAGAGCAACCAGTCAAGTTTTTGGTTTTTTTTTTTTAATTAATTTATTTATTTATTTATTTTAACCAGTCAAGTTTTAAAACAGAATTTATTAGCAAGAAGAAGAGAGGGAAAAAAGGAAGATTCATGGCAGAAAGACCTGCCATGGACAAGTTTCTCAAAAAAGAAATACCATGAAAAAATGTCTGTTTTACAGTTGGTTAGTTCAAGTCAAGACCTGTGAAAATCCAGGCAAGGCATTTGGTTAATGTGAGGTTAAAAATATATTCCAGCCGGGATCGGTGGCTCAGCCTGTAATCCTGCGCCTTTGGGAGGCTGAGGTGAGTGGATTGCCTGAGCCTGCAGGTTCGAGACCCGCCTGGGCAGCGAGACCTCATCTCTACCATAAATCAAAAAATCAGCCGGGCGTGGTAGCATGCGCCTGTAGTTCCGGCTACTTGGAAAGCTGAGGCGGAAGGATCGCCGGAGCCCAGCAGGTCGAGGCTGTGGTGGCCGGGAGTGGCCACTGCACTCCAGTCTGGGCGACAGGGTGAGACACCAACTCAAAAAAAAAGAAAGAAAGAAAGAAAATTTTATTTAAATGTCACTTTGAGAGAGAAAGACGAGAGAGAAGATTCACCTCCCCAAGGTGTGGGAGGGGGCCAAAGCCAGGAAGCGTGGCGACAGCCATGGCTCAAAGAGCACATGGCCACACCAGACTCTAGCAAGGCAGTGGCCCCACCTTGATATTTTGAGGAGTGCTGTTCAGTTGTTTTGTACTATATCCATCACTTTGGATGTATCTGACGTTTTCTTATGCATAGATTAAGATCATGCATTTTGGGCAAGAATACTGCTGACGTGATGTGCCATTCTCAGTGCATCATATCAGGGTACATGATATCAATTTTTTTTCTTTGCCTGTTTTTTCTGAGTTGGAGTCTCTCTGTCACCCGTGGCACACTGACAGCCATTACAGCCTCGACCTGCTGGGCTCAGGTGGTCCTTCTGCCTCAGCCTTCCAAGTAGCTGGAAACACAGGCGTGCCCCACCATACCGGCTAATGTTTTGATTTATTGTAGAGACACGATCTCGCCAAGTTGCCCAGGCTGGTTTCGAACCTGTGGGCTCAGGCAATCCTCTTGTC